TGAAATTCTAATTAAAACAAAGACGATAAAAATCGTTTAAAAATAGAGAAAATAAAAGCATTTTAATCTCACCATTATATCTTACCTCACTTAAAATCAAGGTCCAAAATCTTATTATTCAAGTGTGCATAACTCTTAAGGACTCTTTTAATCAAAGTTTTCTATTGTTGCAACTTTATACCAAAATAGGTATTACCCAATGCCCCAATATTCAAATTTACTAAATATACACTTTTCGGTTTTCTATCACTAATCCTAGACTCGTCAGTGTGCTTGCTTAAGCATTTCTAGAAGAGATGAAACAAAACAAAATGTCTATCGCCATCATCCAATATTCAGTGACTTTAGTCCTCACATTCTGTCTTCTTATGAAGTTATTAAGGTTGCAAAACTAGGTGGAATAACTATTCAAGCCTAGTTATTCTGCTAATTTGAAGATTCGTTTGTGAATTTGGAATAATAGTTGATTCATTGTGGATATCAGTTAGCAAATTTTGAATATTAATCTGTGCACTCTAGATACTTTAGTACTTGGATATTAGTTCATGTATTTTATATATTAATTAGTATCTGCTAACGAATTTTCAAATTAGCAGATTAACTTTGCCCTGACCATTACTAGCCCGAGGGGGAAAAGTTAATCTGCTAACTTGAAGATTCGTTAGCAGATACTAATTGATATCCAAAATACATGAACTAGTATCCAAGTACTAAAGTATCTAGAGAACACAGACTAGTATTCAAAGTTTGTTAACTGATATCCACCATGAATCAACTATTATCTCAAATTCACAAACTAATATCTAGACAACACAGAATAGTATCCATATAACACATAATTAGTATCCAGATAACACATAAGAGTATCCAGATAACATATAAAAGTATCCATATTGAATACTAGTTGGTTGTTTGTGGATATTAGTTGGTATCTGCTATTTGGATACTAGTTTGCGATGTTTTGAATATTAGTCTGTGCTATCTAGATACTCAGGAGACTTGGATATTAGTTCATACATTTTGAATATTAGTTAGTATATACTAACGAATCTTCTAGTTAGCAGAATAACTAGGCTGAGCCCGAGGAGGTAAGAAGATGACCTTTCTGCTTAACCTCACACCAAAACTTGTGCAATTACTATTTACTACACTAATTACATCCAAATTCGAAGAATACTTTAAAATATTTTCTTGTATTTTTCTCATTCTCCAGGCCCTCACACGAGTCACACCCAGTTGTCAAATGTCAAAACTTTACAAACATAAAAAGTCAAAACTTCACACGGCTGGTCAGACACAGGGAGACGCCCTTTGACTCTCTCCACTTCTGTAGACTTTGCAGTGTGAATGGAACCTGTGGTGTGTGGATTAATTCAGATTTGGAACAGGTCAACAATCTGCCAACTGCCCGTGTATTATGTTAACCGTGTAAGTTAGATTAATATAAATAACCCATTATTTTTTGTTTTTGTTGTTGTCAAGATAAATGTGTGCTCGACCCGCTTTGGTGTGAAATTTATCATCTAGACTCTTACATTATTTTGAAAGTGGGTAAATGAGAGGGTGCAAATGTAATATGTGAGTGATAAACACAGTTCTCAATATATTTGTACATATTTGAATAATAGAGAACACTAGAGGTGCAAAATAAAAGTGTAAAGTTACTATTTCGACTTACTCCCAAGTTGGGGTGCAAGTAGGGCTGTTATTGAGCCGAGTCGAGCCGAGCTTTGCCATAGTTCGGGCTCGGCTCGTTAATATATTTTCAGGCTCGAGCTCGGCTCGTGTTCGTCACGAGCTTTAATATGCAAGCTCGAGCTCGGCTCGTTTATGAAAATGAAAGCTCGAGTTCGGCTCGAGCTCGGCTCGTCAAATAAGTTTAACGAGCCCAAATTCGAGTTCAGCTCATAAAATGTTCATGATAGCTCAAGATTGACCTAGAACTGCGCACAAAATTACATTCAAACCTGTAGCAAAGTCTAGCAAAGTAAAACACAATATTTATCCCAATTTCAATACATAAAATCCATGAATTCTAATCCTTTTATTATGTCAAACCATTAAATGAGCTTGTTCGCGAGCTTTCGAGCTGAACATGGGGTGGCTCGAGTTCGGCTCGTTTAGTTAACGAGCTTGTTCGCGAGCCGGCTCGATTAAAACGAATCGAGTGTCGAACGAGTTTTTCTCGAGTCGCACACCGAGCCGTTCATGGGCGGTTTGGTTCATTAACAGCCCTAGGTGCAAGGAAGGAAGAAGGGAAGGGAGAGGAGAGGAGTAGGGGAAAAGCTATGGATTTTTTTAATTATATTTAATAAATTGTTTTTATTTTTTTCTTATAATTATCATTAATGTAAACATTATTTGGGGTTGACTGTTTGACTCCGGGAGCAAATTTATCAATGTTCGTCTAATAAAATCGAGATCTTTTGTTTATTCGTATAGTTTACTTGATTAAATAATTAAAACTTATATATTCGAACGTGTTTAACTAAATTTGACCATATTCAATTTAAAGTTAAACTAGACACGAGAACCTTGTAGGATGACCAATTACGAGTTGGACTTCGAGCTTCGAGGTCGCTCTACCAATGATTATTATAGTTTTTATAATTAATTAATAATTATTTTTATTAAACTATATTATTTTTATATATAATGATTTTATTTTATTATTTTGTGATAATATTTAATAAATTCGACAAATATATTTTATAATAGTATAATTACTTACTTTTTAATCTATTTGCACCCCCTACTTTTTCATCCAAATAACAATTTACCCCTCCACTTACACCCCCACCAATTTGCACCCCCCTATAATTTATCTCTCAACTTGCACCCCACTCGAATTTGTGCCTCCTTGTTGTCAAACATACCTTTGGACAATTCGAAAATTCGTCCCATACTTGTTCGGTTCGGTTTAAATCGAACCGACCGAACGCACACCCCTACCCATTTGCACCTCTTCCCAAACATAGTGTTAAATTCAGTGTTATTAAAGCCGAACCGAGCCGCTCGGCCCGACCGGTAAAACCACCACCAGGTCACAAAACCGACTCGGAATAATCTAAAAGCCGCTCCAGTTTTATGTAGCGGTTGGCGAGCGACCGAGACAGTTAACCATTCGAGCCGATCTAGCCGCTCGTCCGGTTTTTGCCATTCAGCCACTAAACTTAATTAAAAAAATTGCAAAACATTAAAAATTGAAATAAACCAAAAATGCCGTGCTCTCAAACTGAATCTTTATTTTCATTTCACAATTTCGAAGGAAGAGACGAACTCTAATTAAGAAATGTCCACTATTTATACTGATAACGTTTATTAGGTACCGGTTCTCTAACGGTTTTTAAACGGTCTAATGTCGGGTGGACCACTAAAGTACGAGCCGTTCACATTATCGGATCATGCTCCGGTTCAGTTCTGACAATAATGGTTAAATTCATGATGAAATGGATTTGGATACCAAATATATCATCCAACACTCTTTAAGTATGTCAAAACTCAAAACCAATAAGCAAGAATTTTTTTGTTTCAAAGCGACAAATATTTAAAAAAATTAATAAACTGGATGACAAACTTTTAGTTACATTATTTATTTATTCATTTATTACTGGACTTCTTTTATATGTTTGTTTATCCATTTGCCAGCAGGTCTACTTTTCAACCCTTCTGACATCTCTTTCAAATTTTCATTGACTCAAGTATTTACTCTCTGCTAACTCGGTCCTCTAAACATTCACCATTCTACCACAACAAGAGAAACTCGGGTCGTCTTGAGACTTAGGTAACCAATTCGTGGAGCGAGAGCGTGAGAGCGCTCATTTTTAAAGAACTCAATAATGAGAGCGCGATATTTTGTTAATTTAAATTAATAAATTCAGTTAATTTTTATAAGAACTAAAGACCTAATTATTGGAAATAACTATTAAATATATACAACCCGTAAAAAACTATTAGAAATATACAGGTTGAGTCAAACCGTAGTCTGTTTGCTCCAATAGGATTCAAGTCTTATTTGGGTTGCCTGCCACATTAATGAAATGGGTCCTTTGAGTTATTTTAATTGTTTGTATTTTCATTAAAGCCCAGCCCACAAAAGGACCTACTAAAAGTTGGAACTTGGAAGAAAGAAGCCAAGCCACACAAGCACTTCCTCTCTTTCCTCTCCAACCGTCTTCTCCTTCCGTCTTCCTTTCTTCTCTCTTCTGTAAATTCAAATCCCTAACCTCATCTGCAGAGACAACTAATTGAGTGGAGTTATTTTAATAGTACTTCAACATCTGCTCAGTCTATTTAAACCAACTTTATGTTTCTACTTCCAATTTCTCGCTACCATCCACTTTCTGTTGCATGCACCGCTATCTCGACGGCAGTTCAGGCATTCAATCGATTGTCAGAGAAGAAAGCTTCCACTGAAGCTACCTAGTCCCTTTTCAATTCTCATTTTCGTGTGAACCAAAAAAGGAAATGGAGAAGAAAGTGTCCCGTCTCACTCACTCATTACCCTCCTCTGACTCGGATCAAGAGGTTTATTTTTGTTATAAACATTTCAGATTGACTTATCATAAATAAACAATTCAGATCAAAGAATTTGGGTTCTGCATGTTTCTTTTTTTCTTTCTAATTCCAGTTGTTGTTTCGCTTCGTTGATTTTGGATGGGAGGGTAAGGATCTGGTTCCGGCTTGTCGGAGGCAGGGGTGTTCCGGCAATCAGGACCAAATCGAGCAAGTTACGGCTTGCCGGAAGCATATATCGACAGAATACCATCCTCTCTCTTTCTTGCTCTCGCTGCAGTGACGACACGGAGACGGGTAGATCTTTCATTCTCGCCGCCTTTCTCTTTCTCTTCCACTGAACCTTAGAGGTCTCTCACGAGATACATTAAATTCGCGTCCTCCCTCACAAAATTCGCGCTCTGAATAAAAGCAGTTCGCGAATTATTGACGCTCCATCCAAAATCCGCGATTTTAACGCTCCAGAGCGAGCGGGAGCGCTGGGCCCAAACCAGCGAATTAGGTTACCTAACTCGAGACTGCAAAGTCAGCAGACATCTTATACTTAATTCTGAATTCATATCACCCCTCACAGTCATGCAATCAAGCAAACGAACAACCATTCCTTCTTTTGTTCTCTTCCTCTTGTCTTCAGCATCCATCCCCCTCATTTTCAATTTTTGAATCCCCTCTCCCCCAAAAAATCACCACTTCAGTCCTTCTTCCCTCCTTTCTTTTCAACTCTTTCTTATAAACCTCCAGGCTCCAAAACACACGCTTCCTTCCGGCTTCCCATTCTTCCCCTTCCCCCCATACCAACCATCTCTCTCTCTCTCTCTCTCTCTCTCTCTCTCTAACTCCTTTCCCTTCCTTCTCTGCTCAATCGCTTTCCTCTCCTGCCCCCTTCCGTCGTCTACCCCTACATTTTCCGTTTCCGCTTTTGCTTGCTTGTTTCTTCCGGCGGATCGGAAAAGCTGAAATAGGAAAGGGGGGGAACGTCGACATGTCGGTCAGTTCCAGAGGAAGAAACGCAGAGCTTCGTATTCCGAGGAAATGGACGGACAGAGAAGCTACTCCTGAGCGAATCAGAGTCTGGGGTCACCCCCACGCCACCAACAATGCCGCTCAAGAAAATGACGATAATAAGGCCACAAACAGTTTCCCCGAGGAGGAGAAGAAAGTCCCCGTCGTTTACTACCTCTCCAGAAATGGACAGCTCGAGCACCCTCATTTCATGGAAGTCCCCCTCACCGCTCCCGACGGTCTCTATCTCCGAGGTAAAAAAAAAAAGAAGAAGGAGAAATTCACGATTCCTCTCGCATTTACCAATCAGTGGTGTTTTCTTGCACTTTCATACTGTTTTATCTAATTTTCTCAGATGTGCTCGACCGCTTGAATCTTCTCCGCGGCAAAGGCATGGCTGCTCTCTACTCTTGGTCCTGTAAACGGTAAGGCTGCAATTCGAAATGCGTTTTTTTTATTCAGTTATGGAATTTTTTTCTTATATGAATCCCACGCTTTTGGCACCAGGAGCTACAAAAGCGGTTTCGTCTGGCACGATTTGGCGGAGAGCGATTTCATCTACCCGGCCCACGGCAACGAGTACGTCCTCAAAGGCTCGGAGCTTCTCGAACCGCCGCCGCCGCCGCCGCAGAAATCGCTCGTCGACTCCACTGCTTCCTTCAGATCCGTCAAATTACCGGCCGAGATTCAGAGCCACAAGTCATCTTCATCGTCCCCGCCGTCAAGCGACGATCTGGATGCTCGCCCGCTGGTCACGCGGCGGAGGAACCAGTCCTGGAGCTCCATCGATCTGAGCGAGTACAAGGTGTATAAAGCGGAGCCGTTCTCCCAGTCGAGCCGGAGGCTGGCAGCGGACGCGGCGACTCAGACCGACGACAAGAGGCGGCGGAGGAGGCCGGTGAAGCCGGCCGAGGAGGAAATAGGAGAGATCGTTGAGGCGTCAGACGTCGGCGGAGCGAGGCGGGACCGCCGGGAGCTTGGAGGAGGAAGCAGAGAGGAGATCGAGATCTCGCCCCCGCCGTCGGACTCCAGCCCGGAGACGCTGGAGACGTTGATGAAAGCGGACAGGCGGCTGATACTGGGCGGGAGGAGCGGCGGAACGGAGAACTCGAATCCGACGGCGGAGAACGACGGAAGGGTGAAGGCGTCGACGGTCCTGATGCAGTTGATTTCCTGCGGGTCCATCTCGTTCAGGGACTGTGGGGCCGCGACGGTGAAGGAGCAAGGGCTCTCTTTGATTGGGCAATACAAGGGGAGGCTGCCACGTGGCGTCGGGGACCACTTGGCCGGGGCATCCTGGGAACTTGGGATTTCTCCAGGGGTAAGATTGGAAGATAAAGAGTATTTTAGCGGGAGCGTGATCGAGACGAGGAAGGAAGAGATTCCTGCTGCTCTGAAGCGGTCTAATTCCTACAATGCTGACAGGTACGCCGAATGACAACAATTCCCTTAATTAGTAGTATATCGCCCCAATAATAGAAGTTTGTTGGACGATAAATTTGTTTAAATTAAGGGGGTACCCACATGTTCTTGTGGTAGTTAGGATTCAAATACGCCGGACCTTGACGATATAGGTTTGGCTCACTGATAAAAGCTCGTCTCTGCATCGAGAATTTATAAGGTCAATCATGATGGTTTATCGAGATATTATTCTGAATACGTCGAACGATTAAGCAATCGTCAAACAACTTAACATAATATAAATTGTTATTTTATAATATGTGGGGATGCCATTAGTCTATTTGTTGATTAGCTATTGTTTATAGTAGTTGAAGGGACAGGATGTGTAATGTTAAAATGTGATTAGACATACAATCTAGATATATAAAAGAATAGTAATCATCTCATAGCATTTCAACTTAATCATAATAATTCCAAATCTAATAAACCCAAATAAGCAAATGAGTTAAAATCTTTTGTAATCGAAAGTGTCAATTGAAAAGAGAATCTGTTTGATATTGAAAGGTCGGTTGGAAAGTAGTTCCATATACGTGTAACAAAGCCACTATCCAGCCAAACAAGTCCTTCCTTTTTTCCCCCTTTGGCATATTACTGTGGATTGGACAATGAACATATTACTGTTTGATATTATATGATAGTGTCAGACGCCTCAGAATTATTTTGATACGCAGTGGGGTTAGATTTGTCCGTCCGATGCCAGCAGGTGCAGATTCGCAGTAGTAGCTAGTATGACTGTATGAGCATTTTAACCCAAGATCTACATCCCACCCACCTTTCTATCTGGCTATAGCTATTCCTCGCCAGTTTTCAGAATATTTATGGCTGGCGGGTAGTGGGTAAAAGCCAGGGAGAGAAAGCCGCACACAGCAGAAACCCAGACAAAAACCAAAACCAGCTGGGTCTCACAGAACTAGAACGGGGCTCCTCCTTCCTTTCTAACTCTCTCCCATTGACTGTTTGTACAGTAATATTTGTGGGGGTTACTTTCCTGCCTTCAATCTGGATTTTTCCAGTACAGTTTGGGGTGAGGTCGGTTTTAATTCAGCGGAGAGAATCTATGCACGAGCCTGCTGCAGCATCCGGCGTACCATAATGCGCTATTAATGCGGACGCATACTTCAATTATTCTTGCTCATTGTTTGCCGCCTTAGCTGTGACAGAGTTGACTTATTAATTGCAACAGATATTCTGATAATTGAATTTGCGCAGCAGGATGTCACAGTTGCAACAACTGGGGGAGAAGGAGATGGAAGGAAGTAGTGGCCGCCGCAGTGCCGCGGCCACGAAATGCATCCCGAGGAGGCTGCCCAAAGCCGGGGCGGCAACGCCGAGCAGGAAAGAAAAGGAGAAGGGTAGCAGCAGCCACCACCAGGGTGATGGAATTAACAGCAGTCAGGGTGGCGGTGGCGGTAGTGGGAGCAAGAGATTTGAGCCGACCAACGTCCAGCAAGTTGAGGGAATCCAAGATGGGAGTTAATTAATTTATATTACTTATCGAGATGGAAGAAAGAGGAATGAATGTCTCGCCTATATTGTAAATGACGAACATGGGACTGTTAGTTTCTAGCTAGTTTTAGTTTTCCGGGCACGGCACGGCACGGCACGGCGAGCAGAACATACATCCATGGCGGGGAGAGAGGGAATTGAGGAAAAGTTTGCTTTTGGGGAATCGAATCTACACAAAAGTAAGAGAAGCAAAAGGGGAGTGAGGCTCCTTTTTTTTTCATTCTCTTTTGTGGAAGGTTGCGAAAGTGTCTGGTGGGTTGAGGAGCTGTGCGATGATGGCGCGGCCTTGGTGTCTGTAATTTTCAGAAACTGATGTAGAAATCTATGACTAATAATAATAAGTTAATAACATGGTCTCCCAATCTTCAAGTAATTAACACCTAGCTGGAGCCTTCCTTTTCCGTTCTTCTAGTGCTTAGAAAGCCCTTATTTTTATTGTTTTTGGGTACTAAGAACTAACTACGGTGTGTTGGTGTGGTGGCATGCAAATGCAAATGCATGCTAGGGGAACTCAAGCTTTTGTCTTGCTTTGCGTATTAGAGTTTGGCGTTTGCTTTGTTCTTTCTCTCTTTGGATTGGGATTTGCAGCGCCTGTTTCCATCTCGTCTTTTGCCAATTTCACACCGGCAGATAGCTACTCCTACTCACGAGGCTTGCAAGGTTTCCCCCAGCACCTTGCTAGCTAGTATGGTGACACGTGATTTCCTTGTGTGTGTTTAACTTAAGAACAGCGCCATGTTACCTTGTGCTAGGTCAGATTGAGTTTGGTTAGTAATATGAATTACATTATTTAAATTATTTTATATTTTATGTTGTTTTTAATTCACACTTTGAAATGTCGCGTGTTACCTTTGTGATATACTCAGTGGCGGACCCAGGGAGTTTAGGGGTGTCCCGGACACCCCTAAATTTTGGAAAAACGATTATCCAACCCCGGTGGTAATTTTCGTATTGACAAAAAAAATAAAAAAAATTAATAGTGAGGGACACCCCTTAAATTTGAAAAAATGAGTATCCTACTGTCATTTGTGTATAGGAATATAAGTGGTAGGTTGGATAATTTAAATCTAGAACACTATTATTATTAATAAACTTAATTTCCGTTGAGCTAAACTCATTTGTTGTTCGTTTTTGAACAATGTGTAATAGTAAAATGGCATTCCCTATCTCTAATTATTATAAAAACCTAACAATTAAACTAATTTCAAACTATCCTTAATTTGTATTGATTTTATGATTCTACGGCAAGTGTTGGAAGAGTCTTTCAGCTTTGGATTATATCAAGAACAAGTTTACAAATCAAATATGCGATAAGTTCGTGAATGATTGTCTAGTAGTGTATATAGAGACAATTTTTTTAAACACTATAGACACCAAGTGTATTCTACAATTATTTCCGAATATGAAAACACATCATGGACTTTTTTTAACCTGTACGAGCAAGGTATTTTCATATTTACAATTTTATTTTTATTAATTATTTTATTTTTATTTAATTTATTTTTTAAAAGAGGACACCCTATAAAAAAATTTTGGGTCCGCCACTGCATATACTATGTGTCCACATGATCATGAGTCAATCTTCTGACGGGGTTAATGGTAAGAGTTCAAGAATGAGAGTGAGTACCGTGTAATGTTATGGTATATGGTTTGGTGTCCTATGCTCAGGGGTTAAGATTTAGAATTTGAGATGCATGTTTAATGATGCGAGATTAAGAGTATTAGAATTTAGTGACAAAAGGTGGTCTTTCTCTTAGCAAGGCTTAATGTTTATGTATAAATTAAATAATTTAGTGTCTTAGACGTAATGAGAATGAGGTAAAAATACGTACATTATCCATTCCAAATAAAATGGATTCGTTGCTATTTTATTATTCGTTGCTATTTTATTTTTAGTTATATTCCTTTTCCTTTTCCTTTTCCTTTTCCTATCTTGCCGCTTAATGAAGAACCAAAGATAAGATAGATTAACAGTAAATCTGTCGTGACAGTGAAGGTTTGGGAGTTGCAGTTTTGCAGCCAGGTTCAAATTCAAGCGAGGCCCGTTGGTGTTCCCGGATATATAAGGCTGCTGGGAGCGAAGTCTCGTTGGCGTCGAATTTGATTACAGGTGACCTCCCAAATTTAGCAGGACCCGCTGTAACAAAGTGGCACGTGGGGCTGATGTTCCTGGATAATAATAAAAAACTTACTGAAAAGCATAGTTTTTTATTTTAAATCTACTTAACTACTTCATATTGTAGCTATATTCTATACACATATTTACCGTTTCAAGATGAATTTGTTTTTTTTTTAATTTATATTTTTTTAACAAATAAGTGGGCCTTCACTGCATCGCCCAACACAGTGAGTCGAGAAGGGAAGCCACTTTTGGGCCCAAATCAAGGTCCGAGTTTAGTTGGCCAACAACAACAAGGCCGGCGCAGCAGGTGGATGGCGCATCCGTGCGAGGTGGGTTCCTTTTGGGAGAAAGTAAAGAGACGGAATTAAGTGGAGTTTTTCCTCAAATATAGCAATAATTAAAAACAATTTCTAAAATACTAACACTTATAATTTTTTTTTTCAAAAATAACTAAAATTTGGAGTGTTTCGAGTTTACTGGACTCGAACCACTAGTGGGATCGAGTTAGAGAGTCTCGATCCACTTTCTGAGATATTAGATCGACTATGATTATAGGTGTCAAAACAGAACCCGACCCGACTAACCCGCCCGATCAACCCGACCCGCAATCCGACCACAACCCAAATTGACTAAAAGTCAACAACCTGTAACTCGTCCGACCCGCAACCCGATTGACCCGCAACCCGACTAACCCACAACCCGACTGACCCGCAACCCGATTAACCCAAACCCGATTGACCTGCAACCCGATTAAACCCGCAACCCGATTAACCCAGACCTGATTGACCCGAACCCGACTAACCCGTACCCGACCGACTCAACCCGAACTTCACTTAATCCACTTGAATAATTATTATATTATATAATACATAGTTTCTCAAAATAAAGTTTTCATTTTAAACTTAAGTAAAATTATTTCTTCATTTCGTATAGGAAATTTAAAAATATGAAACTCACTTGATATTATGTATTTTAAAAAAATTACAAAAATTGAAATGAGAAATGATGAAGCAGACAATTGCAGCAGGACCACAAGACATGCCATGCAGATGGGAGTTGCTGATTTTTCAATCACAATCTATGGATCTGCCCATGCAAATGGATGGAAATTGGGTGCATTATGTGGATTACAATACACTTTAGTCTAGTACGTTGGACATGGCTCAGGAGGGTGGAAGTGCAAAGAGAAAATGACAAAGTCACCTTCAAATCCACTTGTCTCTCTTCCTTGAAATGTGATAAATACCACATCGAAAGAAAGAAGAAGTTTGAAGTGGAAAACCTCTATAAAACTAACTAGTTTTGTGCCCGCCCGATGGGCGGCGAGTTCATTTGTTTGTACTTTTCCTTTTATTATTTGTCATTTTTTCAAATAGTATCATATTCCTACTTTTCATATTTATTTATAATTGTTACTTATTATCACTGACTTATATTATATGAGGGGCGCTACATTTACTCTAGGTTTTAATGATGATCAACAATAAAGTCAAACAACAATGTAACTTCATCATCGCTTGGATAATATTATTCATGATCATCGGATCTTTGATTGACCGAAAATTGTCAACTTCATAAGTTGTACATGGTTTAAGCTCGTGTACGCCACTTTACCGTACTCCTATAGAGTTGGTATTTAGACCATGAATTAACGGAGTTTGACACATGATGTTATACCATATTCTCTAATAGGTGAAACACAGTCTTAAATTCTCTAATCCAAATTGTACGATTCATTTAATGAAAAATAATAACCATCGATTCTTATTTGTCAAGATATATTAACATACAACTAATCGGTATGAATGAAGGTGCATATTACACCTCGAGTGTACGCTAGCCTTTTCCAAGATTATATCAAAGTACAACCAAACTATTCTGCTATGCTTCTTACCTTCAACATTCTACGAATGATATCAAAGCAAATGTTAGTTATGGAGACACTTTGTCTTCACTTCACATTATCCTCCAATATTTAATATGTGACTGACTGTAACTAAAATTGTGTGATAACTTAATACAAACATAAAGGCGCTCTGTTCTGCAGTAAGTATAGTAACTGAATTTACAGGACATCGTCATAATATGATCATGCGTTGGTTTTACAGGACACCAGTCCGGGTACGTCCCACCCTGGTATACATGACATCGGTTAGGGTATGATTCGCAATGGATTTATAGGACACCAGTTTAGGTACAATCTATGGTGGTATGCATGTCATCTACTATACTACCCGAGGAGTGTATGACTTGGCAAATTAAGATGTAAAATGCAGTGAACCTTTACCTAACCATGCATGTGATTGAATCATTGTATAAATATTACTTATGATGTGGTTAAGTGATGACTTTCTATGATGTGATATATGAAATGTGCATGTCAATGATGATGGTTCTCTATGGTGTTTTATACTATGATTTAAGATTGAATGATATGATGTTTTGCTATGTTGGGACAGGGGTTACATGGCAATACCAGTATGATGTGATATTTGATGCATACATGTTTAACCAGCGAGTTATCAAGAGATTGGGTGATGGTCCTTATGTTGTGATGTATGAATTCTTTGAGTTTGAGATGATGAATGTGATATGGCATGTGGTGATGAATGGATGTTTATTTGACTGAATAAGATATAGCATATCGGATGTATCTTGACAGTTAAGTTAAGCCAGTAAGGCCTGAGAGGTGGGTGACGGGAAACTGAATACTCCATGTTTTGCCATGGTCAATGGGAGGGACAATAAGTCATTTTGAACTATACTCTTAAAGGTAACAGAGAAGGTATAGATCATTATCTTATGAGTAAGGTTATCTGGCGAGTATAACTGGTTACTAAAAATAGTAATAGTAATATATGTATTAGGGTGTCACATTAAGTAAGGATTAAAATAGTTATTTACATATCACCCATCATATATCCAATAGCTTAAGATTCGTTTACAAATCTTGCTTGACTTAGGTGTTATTCATCTAAATATGACTCAAAGTTGCACATCTACACTCATGTAGGGAAAAGAAATGAACTTATGTCAAACAATAAAAAGAGAAAAGAAAGGAATTATAATTACATTAGGAAAAAAGTAAAGACAATGTGTTTTATAATTGTGCATGAAAGAATATTTAATGACGTACGGGAAATGAAAATGGAAAGAAGTTGGAATAACATAAAAAAAAAAGATAATGATATCATTTTAAAAATGACAAATGCATTATGTATATCTACATGATGTTTTTTGTAACTTCTTTC